TCGTCTTACATCATTGTCGCCACCGTGTAGAATTATATTGCTTCTCTAATGTAGACAGGGATTGGGGTGTGATTCATTATGAGGCGAGTGGCCATTTAATAAATAGGACCAACTAAATACTAGAGAATCATCTAGTGGAATGGTTGCAAGGTGAGGGGTATCTTGGGGTTACCAGGAATTTGCCGGGTGTGTCCTGGGTTATCCAGGGGTTCACTCTTATTTGGAAAGCCACCCAGGCTCAAAGGGGTCAATCATGTTTTCATAACTAGAAGCTCATGTGTGCAGCCACAAGTTACTATAGACTCGGGATTGGTTTGACAGTTGTAGTGACTCTTACTTGGTAGTGCTACGAGAAGTAGATATAACTAGGTGGGATGGGCACTAGCGGAGTTATGGGAAACTCTTCTGAAAGACCATGTCTCGGTCTTCCAGGTTACATACCCTAAGTGTGATGAGCTACAAAGGAGGTGAACGAGTCTTGTGAGGAACGTGCACAAATCTCCGCAGAGTGTAAAACTAATCAATTAGTCATGTCCAAGGTTACAAACATCTTCGGCATCTAGAAGTGGGATTATCGAGAGATCTCGTCACATTTAATTAATGAATGGGTTAGATCAACTTTGGGAATAGATTGAGTTGGGGGCTCTATCTCAATAATTATGATAATGGTAGAATACAATATTCCTTTTGATAGTAGAAAAAATGGCTTTATGTAAAAAATAAACTTGGAACTTTCCACCAGCCAATTGCGTGTAGAGGTAGGACTTTTGTTCTCTCTTATGGTGTTACTTGACAGTACATTCCATGTGCTGACCTACACGGTTGCAACTTATCATGTTGCAGATTTGTCCGACAAGGATTAAGTTGCGAGGTCGTTGTTCTGCACTCAGTTTTGCTAGTGGAGTTGGATGGACTCGTTATTTTTAGATGCTTCCACGGTTTTTTTTCTTTAGATGGCCTTCAGTCATATTTATGTAACAAATACTATATTTGTGGCTTATAGATGTAATAAAGTGTGTGATTGAACTATGTTATTTCATCGAGTATTGTGTGTGCTAGCAAACCGATCCAGGGACTAGCATAGTAAGCACGCAGGCTCCGATCCATTCAGGTTGGGTCGCTACACGTAACCACTAGCAATCAAATTCTTTCTTTTCTTCTCTTTTTGCATTTTAGACGCCCCCTACTTCCACTTGCTTCTACTCTCTGCAATTTCCTTTTCACGTTCAATTTGCATATTTTTGGGAAAACTAAAAAAGTTAAGTTAGATCATTTTTTCTTACACTCTATGAAAAGAGTCCAAACGTAGAAAAGTGTTAAATTTAGCAAGGTCTATTTTCTTGCATTATATCCATAATTAGAAGAGAAAAGCAGTATATCCTAGATTTATTTTCCCCGCCGTGTGTTGAAAGCCCAATTAGGAATATGCCCTATTAAAGTTCAAGGATGAAATGTTCACTCTAGCCAAAGTTTCATGATGAAGATTATGTCTTGTTTATTTCTTATTCTGTTCAAAAAAATTCAATGAAGAAAATATATTAATATCAAGAAGATATATTCTCAGCAATTAGGACATGCTCATGATAGCACTATACTTCGCCACCACCGAATCATTGACTTTACTTATATGTGTCATAGCTTGTACAATCTTCTCATCATTTTTAAAGAATACCCGCAAGCCATGCTATTATAAATTGCATTGGCTGATGCAGCATCTTTTTCCAAAAAAATTATGATCACATCATTTATGCCGTCCTCGATTGATGATGTACAAAGATAACATTTAGTTTGATCTACGTGGGACATTAAATTGGGAGGCCAACTGAATTTTGTATGTCGAAGATCGAGTCCTTGATCTCAAATGCAACCTGTAGCTTGGGAAAGAAAAAAAAATGTTTTTATATTAAAGGATTATGTTTAGTTGGCATCTATGCAGGTCATTAAGTTGAGAGACCCATTTACAATTTTTCGGCTACAAGATCAAACTGCTATGATTCCTTAATTTATGAAGGTCCACCAGGTTAATGGCCGGTATATTCTAATTAACATGGGATTTTCTAGTCTATTTCCCCATTTTTTATCCGCATTGTTCATCTAGTATATAATAGGAGATTTGCATCTTTTTAGGGAAACCAACAAAGTTAAGTTAGATCATGTTTTTCTTGCACTATGAAAAGAGTCCTAATATAATTAATGCATTGAATTTACCAAGGCCTAACTTCTTGCATTATATCCAAAATTACAGGAAAAAGAAATATATCCTAGATCTGTTTTCCCTGCCATGTGTTGAAAGCCCGAGTAGAAATGTGCCCTATTAAAGTTCGAAGATTAAAATTTCACTGTTGCTGAAGTTTAGTGATGAAAATGATGTCTTTTTTTCAACTTCCTATCCTCTGCAAAATTTCAGATAAAGATAATATATTAATGCCAAGACGATATATCCTCGACAATTAGGATGCGCTTGTGATAGCACTAGCTATATTTAGCCGCCATCCAGTCATTGACTTTAGCTGCCATCCATAGCGTGTACCATCCTGTCATCAACTTTAAGTAACACGCGCAAACCGTGCAATTTATAAATTCCGGTGGCTTTCCGGTGGCTTCAAGAAGGGAACGGCGCAAATAGCGCCGCCACCGCCGGCCTTAGCAGACGCCGAAGGCAAGTTTTTACCCAGATCAGTTCGAAGGGATCCAACTCTCGTGCACGGGCCGCCGTCATCACCAGCACCACCAGGCAGAACCCTAGAGCACCGGCAGATCAGCGAGCTGCCGGCACCACCGCATCCAGATCGCCGGCCACGCCGGGCCGCCGCCATCCCCCGCGCCGTCCGGGTCAGAGACGGAGCCGCCGACCGTGCACAGGGACCACCGCCGCCTGCACACGCCGGAGCGCCGCCGAGAGCCCAGCGCCCGCCACCGCTTGCCGAGGGCCATCGCCGCGCGCCCTGAGCGGACTCCCACGCACACCATGGGAAACTGCCATCGCCCCCAAGCCCGCGCCGCCAACCACCGCTGCGATCCGCCCGCGCCAGATCTAGCGAGCCATGGGAGAAGAGATCCCGCCGCCGCCGCCGCCGACCGGGCTTTGCCCGGCGGCGGCGAGGAGGAGAGGTCGGGGGAGGGACGAGGACGCGGCGGCGCTAGGGTTCCCCCCCCAGTCGCCGCACAGGGGCGACATGGGAGGAGTCGGGAGGCTCTGTGTTGTATACACTAGTCTGTTGCTACTGTTGTGATCCTCTAGAATTTCTACCTTCCAAATATAATTAATGCATTGAATTTACCATGGCCTATCTTCTTGCATTGTATCCAAAATTACAAAAAAAAGAAATATATCCTAGATCTGTTTTCCCTGCCATGTGTTGAAAGCCCGAGTAGAAATGTGAGCTATTAAAGTTCAAAGATGAAAATTTCACTCTAGCTGAAGTTTAGTGATGAAAATAATGTCTTTTTTCAGTTTCATCCTCCTCTGCAAAATTTCTGATAAAGATAATATATTAATACCAAGACGATATATCCTTGACAATTAGGATGGCTTGTGATAGCACTAGCTATATTTAGCTGCCATCCAGTCATTGACTTTACTTCTATATGTAATAGCGTGTACCATCCTGTCATCAACTTTAAGTAACACGCGCAAACCGTGCAATTTATAAATTCCGTTGGCTTTCTGACTTTACATTTATATGTCATAGCGTGTACCATCTTCCCATTCCGCATGTAGGAGCAATCCAATATCTAACTTTGAAGGTCGATCTTTCTGATTGTCTAATAACGCTGGGCTGCGAGCTTATAAATAACGCTGCTCTCTTGGTACTCCTGCTATCAATGTTCCATTGAGACACACCTCACGGATGAGTTCAGGAACCTGGAAAGAATCGACTTGTGATTGAGGTATGCACATACTACCTATGCGTTCTCCTTTCAATTTGAGTGAATTCTCTGCTCAAACGAAACTGGCACTGCTATACCGTCATGTGCTACGCTTTACCTACATATGTTTCATATATCATCTTATTTAGATTAACTGAATACTGAGAACAGAGCGCTAGTTTCGTGGCTGGAGTTCGCATTGCAGTGGCAAACCCGCTTTTGAGTCCGTGTAGTGGGCTCCGCTAGGGTGCTATCCGCAATTTAAATCATGGAGAATTCTCATCTTCCACCTAAATAACAGACAGTTATTGGAGTGATTCTTCCCCCTTTAGCCAACGTTTCTTATTACTGGAAAAAAACTCACCAACTTAATTGGTAGGTGTATAAACGGCACTCGACCGACCTTTTTTCATGGCATCAACCGATCAACGTCTTGTTGTGTCATGTCCACATCTACAAAATCAACCTCAGCCATACCGACAGCTCAGCTAGAGGACAAATTATGATCTCACTTAGTTAGCTTATTCCCACAAAAACAAATCCCAAGAAAAATTTCTTAGGCCTTAGGTGGTGTTTTTCTTTTTGCGAAACTAGCAAAACCATGTCAAAGCTCTAGTTCGTGACATCTCCTAATGCAATTAGGGTTGCTAATTTTTGGCCCACAGAGTACTTTCTGACCCCTGTTTTGTTCAACCAAAAATGAACTAGATTCAAATTGATGTAAGTATTAATTTAGTTCATTTTGTTAAACTAAAGATTATCAAAGAATACTCTTAAAGTGTTATTTCCTCAAAAACCTACAGCCAGCACTTACAAGTTGTGAGATAATCCCCTGTCCTTGATGCAACCAACATGCGGTTGAGCTACCGGCAAACCACGGCCTTGTATGGATAAGCACAAGCTTGGGTTATTTTCCCATTCTAACATTGTGAGAACCAAGAAATAAACTGAATAGCAAATGTGAATCACCTTACAAATTAAACACACGTCAGTTTTGTCATCTCACTAAATTTAATTGTATAGATACATGCATATCTAACTTACTACCTCAATATATGTTCATGTTTTTTGCAGCGCCAGTCATATTGGGTTCATAGTTGGCTGCCTACATAACTATTAGACACGACATCATGGACATGCTGGCAACTAGAACCACATGGTTGGCCATAGCTCTCTTTTTCATAACTATTGTATCCACTAAGATTTCAAGATGGAAAAGCAATATCCATCATTTGCCCACAAGACCACTTCCACCTGTGGTGAATGTCCTTGCTCTCTTACCTTCGGTTTTTAAAAAGGGTTTTGGGGTTACAATCAATGATCTATACACAAGGTACGGCAGTGTATTTACAATAAATTTGCTTGGGCCAAAGATAACCTTGTTGGTTGGACCAGATGTCTCGGCTCATTTCTTCCAAGGGCTCGAGTCAGAGATTAGCTTTGGTAATTTTGCCGAGGTTACTGTTCCCATCTTTGGCCAGGAAGTTTTGTATGGTGTAGATGTCGCAACTCGCAGTGAGCAAGTAAACTTCCTGCTTGATATATTAAAGCCATCCAAGTTGCGAAGCCTCGTTGATCCCATATTTCAAGAAGTAGAGGTACATCTAAAAGAGCCCTTCACTTTATTTTGACTCCCTCTGGATTTTATTCAATATCACTATTTAAGTTTTTTGGTTTCATATATTCTCCAATACGCCTCTTCTAGAGGCAGTTTGCTTGGGTAAATTCCTTTACTTAAACTAAGTACATACGTAAGTTGACTATACAAGTACATGTGTTTTCGCAAGATGGCGTATGTGCTGGACCTGGTTTTGGCATTTGTCATTAGTTTTGGATGTAAGATATAGATGACAAGAGTAGTGATACCATGCATGTACGTTGCACTTGACTGATGGCTTTCTTATACTACTATGTAGGCCTACTTTGCAAACTGGGGACATGATGGCATAGTTGATCTTAAACATGAACTTGAGCAGGTGCTCATGTTTATCTCAAGTCGGTGCCTACTCGGATATGAGGTTCGGCAGATGATGCTGAAAGAAGTATACTCACTGTTCCATGAACTTGAGAATGGCTTAAACTTTTTCAGTTACTTGTTTCCATATATTCCAACTCCGACAAACCGCCGACGCGACAAGGCACACAATAGGCTGAAAGAAATATTCACCACAACTATCAGGTCACGCAGGAGTTCTAGCCGTGCCGAGGAGGATGCACTACAGAGGTTGATGGATTCCAAGTATAAAGATGGTCGCTCCATAACGGACGGAGAAATTTCTGGCATGGTCATGGCCCTCATCTTTGCTGGAAAACACCCAAGCTCTATCACTAGTATATGGACCGGAGCTTTCATGTTGAGCAACACCAAGTTCTTAATAGCTGCCATGGAGGAGCAAAAGCATATCCTTAGCAAGTACAAGAACCAAATAGGCTATGATGCCTTGTTAGAGATGGATACCCTGAATAGATGCATCAAGGAGGCGATTAGGATGCATACACCAGCACAAATGTTAGCTCGCAAGGCACATAAGAAATTCAAGGTGCAGACCAAGGAAGGCAATGAATATGACATACCTGGAGGGCATACTGTTGTAATCCCTACGGCGTTCAACAATAAGCTGGCACACGTTTACACTGACCCTCATGTGTATGATCCGGATCGGTTTGGTCCTGGAAGAGAGGAGGATAAAGTTGGTGGTGAGTACTCTTTCACGACATTTGGTGGTGGAAGGCATGTTTGCCCTGGCATGGCCTTGGCTTACCTGCAAATTAAGGTGATATGGAGCCATCTGCTAAGAAACTTTGAGCTCAAGCTAATATCTCCTTTCCCCAATGCAGACTTGAGAAAGATGGGCCAAGAGCCTAAAGGAAAAGTAATGATAAGTTATAAGAGACATCAATTGTTGCACTGCTAGCCATTGATAAGTAGTAATACTAATAATCATACCTAGTTAGTTTAGAATAAGAATTTGGGTATGGAAAGGTTCGTCCCGAAGAAGGTTTTCCTGCTGTCTCCAAATTCAGTTAGACTTGATTTCTTTTACTCCAAGTTGTAATTGGCATTATAAGCCTTCCTTTGTTGATCAGTACAGACAGCCAAGTTGAATCTATTTTCACTACCTCGTCTTCTCTCTCCTCTTCCCCTCGTGTTGCTGTGCCAAGGATGCCTATCTGCAATGGTTTGTAAAGCATAAATTTCTAGTAGATGCATGCAAGGCATACTTCCCCACCTTACAAGAGGTGAATGGAGCCTTATAAGACATATCAAACCATAAATTATATGAAGCACTACACGGAGACTAACTATAGGACATTTCAAACCGTAAACTATATTAAGAGGTGCATGGAGACTTATTAGACATTTCAAACCTTAAATTGTCGATAAATGTATGAGGTAGACTTCCACACCTTGCAAATCCACCACAAGATAAACACACAAAAAATAATGCTTCTATCCTACTCACTAAAAAAATTACACTGAACAAATAGTTGAGTTACAAATATAACAACAGACCAATTATAGGGCACGACACACCACCGCGTCTCTACCCTACTAGTAAGAAAATTATGAGGCATGATACATGCCTCTGGCTAACTTCATGCATGTTGATCTATTCATGTGCGTGTGTTCTGGTCCCGATGTCTGCTTGAGCACCGACGAGATTTCGGGTCCTACAACTCGTTTGTACTACATGGTACCCGACGCGTTGCTGCAGAAATTTGCGGATAAGAGTTGATGCAATGATAAATTTTGCAAATCATGAAAGGAAACATATACTTGTTAGCTGGCTTGCTTGCCGTAGAGCTTGGCCTCTATGCTTGCTATGTACCTGTTGCATGGCCTTGGGTGATGCAGTTATTGGCTATAGGTAAAGTGTTAATGCAGTATGATTTAGTTTAGTAGCTAGCTACTGTAGCATTTTGGCAGGTTTGTTGACATAGATGTAATCAAGATTTGGGAAGCAATGTCATGGAAAATTTGACATGACATATTCTTATTTTTGAACCATTTGCATATGCAACATGAAAAAAGTGTATATTGACAACAATTATAGTAAAATATACATAATCATCTCAATAAGGTGCATAGTATCCCATATACATCACAATTAAGACTTATCAGTTGCATAAGATAATCCATGTCTCACTACATGCACACGATCCATCATGTAATAACTAACTAAATAAGAGTTTGACTGGATTACAACCTAAACCACAATATAGCAAATTTAAATAGAAGGCAGTTCAGACCATATATAGTTGCAAAAGATGAATCCATATCTCACTACATGCATAGGATCATCGAGAATTAGTAGTAATTAGAGTTTGACTGGATAACAATTTAAGCCACATACAACTAATTAAAATAGAAGGCAGGTGTAGTTCGTTGATGCGTGTATGTGTGCTTGACGATGTGCTGCACACGGTAAAAAAGAGAGCATCATGGATACAGTTATCATCGTGTAATTAGGCCAGCAGAGAGAAACTGGTTTTTTTGATAATTTTGTGTGGACATGAAACTGATAATACCTTCTTTTTATTGTTGTTATCATCTCATGCTTCTTAGTTGTTCACTATCACATTGTTGTCTGCAATGCTGCTTGAGGATAGAAAGCAGGAATGGTGGATCTTATATTTGGAATTTGGAATGCTCTTGCTTGTGCTTTTTGCCAACCTGAAGATTAAGTTCTATAGCGTCAATATCTACCTCTTTTTTATTATGGCATGTAAATATTGCATTGGTGAGAAATTCCATGGAAAAAATGAATATCTATATGTTCTTACCTCTCTTTGTTGGTGTTTTATCTTCTGTAAATTTAATGATTCTTTTAGCTAAAGGGTGCTTGTGAAAAAAACGACATTCATGAATGTCATGTTCAATCTAAACCTGTAGATTTAAACAGTGTTCTATTTTTTTACTCATTTTGACCATTCTCAGTGTCAATAGTTGTGTCTTGGCAAGAGGGAGGTGTAGTATTATTTGAGTTCTCTAGTGTTCGGATCATCGGACTATGAGTAGCAAAAGTTAAGTCATATGTGTGTATATAGAGCTTGTAACTTCTATTTCGTGGCTAATGGCAAACTTTTCAATACTTATCTCTGAAGATGGTTGGGTCATTAGTTCTTTGCTTTGATATGGTTGGAAGTATTTCATGGTTCATGTTAGTCTTTTGTAGGGAATTAGGTTGAAATTAAAGAAGAAAAATATATCTCTGAATGAATAGAAATCGTATAACCTTTGTAGAGGGCAACATTTGTGCATTGTCGACCAAGAAGCTTTTCTTTGGGACATACCTTATGGGGAACCTGGACATTGAATCAATCATCACTGCAACAAGTATAACACAAAATCTTTGTATGGACGGGCCCAAAGAATCTCATTTGGTGTGACATAGCGACATTCTTGATGATTATCTATTTCATTGATTGTTTCATATGATGAATTGGATGGTCCAGCATTAGACTCCATTTCCAATCTGGTACAATAAAATCCTTTTTGTCGCGTACTTGAATGGATATTTGTACATCCAGTATCATCAGTGAACTTTGTGAGGAACAACAAATATGTTATTAATTTCAATCCATTTTTATTACATATTGTGTGAAAGTATTCTCTAATATAGAGGTTTGCTCATAGAAATCATTAGGGTATTTTTTGCATTATCCTAAGTAACTTCTATTCCTAAGTAGTGTAGAATACTGGCGTACCAAGTGTCGGAGTAACACTCGGAAGGCATAATATTATTTTTACCCAGAGGCCATAATATTCGGTTGTGTTTCTAGCATGGAATGCCAAATTTCTTTGAAGTTTCCGTCCTTACTTTCTACCATGTATTGATTTGCGCTCTACAGTCCATAGATTTTCGTAAGGAACTCATACTAAGACTATAATAGGAAAATAAAGCACTCTTCTTGTTGTCAAATTAAATGAAAAAATCTGTAACATTTGATATGACTAACATTACCAAAGCCAGCAAATAAGTACGTATATGACTAACTGAGGATCATGAAGCAATGAACTTATATCTTAGAGGTGAGACTGCATACTAGTGGAGTAGCAAGAGACCGTGATAACCCACAAATATAGGGGTTCACAACAGTTTTCGAGGGTAGAGTATTCAACCCAAATTTATTGATTTGACACAAGTGGAGCCAAAGAATATTTGTAAGTATTAGCAGTTGAGTTGTCAATTCAACCACACCTGGAGATTTAAATATCTGCAGCAAAGTGATCAGTAGCACAGTAATATGATAGTTTGATAGTGATAGTAACGATAGCAATAGTAATGGTAACAGCAGTAACAATTTTTTAGTAGTTGAAACATTAGCAATAGCAATAGTAATGCAGCAAGAACAATATGTGAAAAGCTCGTAGGCATTGGATCGGTGATTTCGTTGGATGATATTCACCATATAACAGTCATAACCTAGGGAGACACAGAACTAGCTCCAGTTCATCAATGTAATGTAGGCATTGTTGGGGAACATAGCATGCAATTTTAAAAATTTCCTACACTAACGCAAGATCTATCTAGGAGATGCATAGCAAGGAGAGGAGGGGAGCATCTTCATACCCTTGAAGATCGCTAAGCGGAAGCGTTTATCAACGCGGTTGATGTAGTCGTACACCTTCACGATCCGTCTCAATCAAGTACCGGATGTATGGCACCTCCGCGTTCAGCACACGTTGAGATCGATGACGTCCTCGCCTTCTTGATCCAGCAAGACGAGCAAAGTAGTAGATGAGTTCCGCACCACGACGGCGTGGTGACGGTGTTGGTGAAGAACAATCTCCACAGGGCTTCGCCTAAGCACTATGGAAACTATGACGGAGGATAAACTAGAGGGGCCAGGGTTGCCGGCACACGGCTTGGTGAATCTTGATGTGTCTTTGGTGCTAGCCCTGGCCCTCTATTTATATGTTGAGCCTTGGGATCGAAACTTGGAGCAAAAGCCTCCTCGAAGTCGGGTTTGCCCGAAAGGCAAGAGTCCCACTCGGACTCCAGGACTAAACGCCACAATCCTTGGCGTATGGCCCAGGGCCAGACGCCAGGGTCTCCGGCGTTTGGCCTCTGACCTCCGCAAAACTTTATTTTGCACCGACCTATAGCCCCGTGGGCCTGACCCCTTGGCCTAACCATATCATCCAATATATGAATCTTTACCTCCGGACCATTACAGAGCTCCTCGTCATGTCCGTGATCTCATCCGGGACTCCGAGCAACATTCGGTCACCAACATCATAAGTCATATAATACTATATCATCAATGAACGTTAAGCGTGCGGACCCTACGGTTTCAAGAACTATGTCGACATGACCGAGACACCTCTCCAGTCAATAACCAATAGCGGGACCTGGATGCCCATATTGGCTCCTACATATTCTATGACGATCTTTATCGGTCGAACCTTATGACAACATATGTAATTCCCTTTGTCCATCGGTATGTTACTAGCCCGAGATTCGATCGTCGGTATCTTCATACCTAGTTCAGTATCATTACCGGCAAGTCTCTTTACTCGTTCTGTAATACATCATCCTGCAACTAACTCATTAGTCACTTTGCTTGCAAGGCTTCTTACGATGTGTATTACCGAGAGGGCCCAGAGATACCTCTCCGATACTCGGAGTGACAAATCCTAATCTCGATCTATGCCAACCCAACAAACACCTTCGGAGATACCTGTAGAGCATCTTCATAATCACCCAGTTACGTTGTGATGTTTGATAGCACACAAGGCATTCCTCCGATATCCGAGAGTTGCATAATCTCATAGTCGAAGAAATATGTATTTGACATCGAGAAAGCAATAGCAATAAAACTAAACAGTCATTATGCTAAGCTAACATATGTGTCTTGTCCATCACATCATTCTCCTAATGATGTGATCCCGTTCATCAAATGACAACAC